CCTCAACTTCCTGCTCATCCTCCTTGCTCGCTCGCACACCCAGAACGTAAGTTCAATTCTCCTGTGGGGAGAATTTTTATCGAGTATCTCCTGTCTGCTTGGGCGCTGTATCCCTAACTTTTTCAAAAGTTAAGTGTTTTTACGTCCCGAATGACACAATTTAAATCATATAGGATGTGGGCATCATACCTGCCTGTCAGGGCCGACCCGAGTCGAGAGTGATACACCAGTACCCCAGCAAAAAGACTGAGATCCTCAATACAAATGTCCCCACAAGGGAATCAAACTCAGATCTTCAGCATAAGACGACAAAGCGCCTAACCTAACCACTACACCACAGAAGCCAGTTGCCCCTTTCAGGTAGTGCCGAAGCAGCCCGCCTCCTAAATGGTTGAAGTGATATTGAAGGGGTTGCAAAATGTCTACACGTAAATTTTTGTGGTTGGTTGGCGGGTGTTCTAGTGTAGTTTGCTCCTTCTTTTCTATCAAACATCTATTGTCTTTATCTGTCCTCTTTTGCAACGCCTCTAATCTTCGACACTTAGTTATATGACCTCTAATTGTGTTGCAAATGCCGTAAAATTCTTACTAAAACTGAAAGAGTACATTATATTATGTTTGCTACATTTTCGATAAAATGATTCTCAAACTCCCTCTCAGACCATCAGCGAAGGACCGGAGACATGTGGTCTACAAGGTCGTGGAGTTTGACCCTCTGCTGGACTCTTCCAATATGTCTATCACAGACTGGGTCAAGGTGGCCTCGTGTATAAAGGTGTGTTTGTGTGTGTGTGTGTATGTGTGTGTGTGTGTGTGTGTGTGTATATGTGTGTGTGTGTGTGCGCGCGCGCGCGCGTGCCCCCATCTTGTCCATCACAGACTGGGTGAAAGTGGCCTTGTGCATTAAAAGTGTGCGTGCGTCGTTTATTGTTGTTATTGTTGTTAATATGTCTGTGTTTTTTTTGTATGTGCATGTGTGTATGTGTGTGTATGTATGTGTGTGTGTTCTTGTGTGTGTTTGTGTGTGTGTGTGTATATGTGTGTATATGTTGCCCCCATGTCCATCAGAGACTGGGTCACGGTTGCTTAAGGGTCATGCCTGTACCCTGTGTGTTGATGTGCATATTTGAGGAGGTCACAGATATATATATATATATATAAATATTTATATATTATATAGTGAGAGATAGATTTATTTTTTTACGCTTTGCGCCCCCCCCTCCCCCCCCCCCCCCTCTTATGGCACTTTGTGTGAAAATAGTGATAAAGAATTGTCCAAAGAGTATGACATGGCAAAACATTTGATGGAAGCACTTTTAAACATTTTCGTTTTTCAAGCCAAGGAATTCCCTTTGTCTTAAAATAAATAATTCCCTTGGAGAAATTTAGGTTACAATGGCATAATACACACGTACATAAATACATAGATGTTTGACACTTAAACACAAAACTATACAAACATACAAAGAATATTTTATAAAATAGTTACAAAATACACACTCTCCCCCCGGGGCGGTGCTACTGACTGAAGTGTCTTTAGATCCATTCCCAAATGGGGAACATTAACCTTGTTCTTATGCACAGTATAATTGTAAATGGGCTGCTACATCACTGTCATGCTCATAACTGTGCCTGAACTGCAACAGGGAACTGCTGCTTTTTGTTTCCTTATCCTTACTATCGTCATTATCCCTTTACTTTTGTATGTTTGTCACACTCTTGTGATCCGTTATTTCTGGGGTGCCTTGATGGTCAAAGCAGACTTTATGCTGTTGAAGCTAGAGAGGTGAGCAGAGTAAGCCTGATTCCCCATAAAAACTTCTCTGTTGACATCGACCCCCTGGCGCTCATATGACCTTATGCAGTTGCGAGCACTGTAAAACCTGTACTAAAACAAACAAAAAAGTACATACTAACAAAACAAAACAGGCTATTTTACAAACTCGCCATTCTTGGTTGCCACTGTATAGCGGTCCATAGTGGTAGGGGTGGTGGGGGATGTAGGGGGTGGGAGGTATGAAGTCAGTCAGGAGAAAAATGACTCAACTCTATGTGACCATCCAGCTAAGTGTCCCATTTTGAAAAAAAAAAGTCTATTCGCATAATTTGTGATGGTATGGTAGCGTATATTCTTGAACGTTGACAAAAATGGTTGTGTTTATGTATGTGTGTATGCCGCTGTTGACTAAATTTCATTTGAAGAGCAGTAAAAGCGAATTTGTTTATCTTGTTTTTTATGTTCTTTAAATGACTGTTGCTGTGTTCGTATTGCTTCTTTGTACTCAAACAAAAGTGTGTCTGTAGAGCAATCAGATTTAACCTTAGGGATCAGTAGAAGTGGAATTTGTTTAGTTATTTATCTGTCTTCCTTCATTCATTCGTTCATTCATTAATTCATTTCATTCATTCATTCATTTTTTCATTCATTCATTCATTCATGCATTCGTTCTTTCATCTTTATTTATTTATCATATTCATTTATTCCTTTTTTTAAATTAATTAATCAGTTTTTTTATTTGTACATTATTCAAATAATTTATAATTATTTATATAATTGATTAATTTATTTTTAAACTTCTACAATACCTGAACCAAGTTCTGTTTGCCTGTAGGAGAACTACCATGACTACGATGGCTTTGTGATTCTGCACGGCACGGACACCATGGCATACTCCGCCTCTGCCCTGTCCTTTATGTGTGAGAATTTGGGCAAGACTATCATCCTCACTGGCTCACAGGTCAGTTTATTATAATATGTGTCACGACTTGGTGGAATCAGGCGCTCGGCAAGTTTGGGGGCATATGAGGTTATTGGTATCATCTTAAAGTCTCTTCATTGGCTTTCCTTTTGGTGAAAAAAAATATCCATCAATGTTGAATAGAAGTCGAGTTATTTGCGATTGAAGGAGACCAGGGTCGCCTGGTTTCAGAGGTAAAATTAGCGAGAAAATGGTCACCGAAGTTTGGTACCTTCCATAGCCTGAGAGTCCTTTGAAACTGAAAATGTTCATTTTTTATGCCTTTAATCAATGTTTCTCGGAAAATCCAAACAAATTTTTCTTTTTTAATGGACATAAAAGGTGCTGAACCAAAAGAAGATAAATAGAAAAAAATTGACCTTCGGCCCCAAAAATGCTGATTTCTTTGATTTCATTATTTTGACGAGTGCCTGATTTCACCACAATGCCTCACGTATAGGCTTGTACTCGTAGAGCGTGCACTGTCATGGCCGCTGCTCTTCACTGTCTATAACAGCTTCAATTCGGAGCATATGCACCATGGGCTGCGCCATTACTCCCAAAGCAAGGGCAAGACACCAGTCCCTCTATAGTTGAGTGTTTGTGGCACCTTCCCAAGTTGCCCTTCATTTGGCTTAAATTGAGAACCAGAACCAGAAATATATATCAGAGTGCATTGTTTAAGATGTTATACTTCAAGTCTATGGCATTTTATTTATGTTCTTCATATTGGTTTTATTTTTTTCCGAGGGGGGTGTTATATCGATGCTGGTTGTTGTTTTTTTATTTGGGTTATTCGGATTGCAAGCGCCAGGATGAAAAGAAATACTGCAAAAAGAAACAAGGCTAAAGGGTTTCTTGGCAACGCCCTTTACAGAGGAAAAGAGAAAGAAATAATTCCTATGTCTTGTTTTCTGCTTCTTGGTTCAGAGATGAGCCTGATAAATTCATGTTTTTCATCAAGTGTTAACATCCTCAGCAATATTTGAAATCTCTGTGCCTTTATATCTTCCCTGTTTTGTGAAGTCATATTTCTTCAGCTTTTGTCCTCTCGGTTTTTTAATGTAGTGGGAGATTTTTTGCCACAGTGATCTTTAAAATGTCCCTGGACTGATGTTTTGATGACCACGGTAACTCTGTTTACTCAATTGCAAACTTGTTGTGTTAGACATTAGGACCCCATAGGTAACAAATGTTCCACTCTCACATCAACTCTATTTAGATCATTTAGGAGGTAGGCCACTTTTACCTACCTGTCATGGCTAGTGTTGACTGAAAGGGTTACCGATTCTCTGTAGAAGGACATGGATACTAGATAAAAATACGTTTCTCATGTAGGAATAGAACTCACGTCTTCAGCGTGCAAGACGAAGAGCCTTGCTATCTACTATTACTGTTTCTCCGCTCAAATGTTGGGCCACATGGTATTAAACTTCAGCCCATAGAGAAATGCAATTAGAAACTGCCTGTTCTTGGAGAACATGTGTCTCAGCGTGGTGGATTCGGGCACCTGTCAAAATAATGAAGTAGAAGAAATATACTTTGTTCTACCCGTTCGACAGTTTTTCATTGATTTTGTATTCTGAGCGCATCAACACATTTTATGTCTTTTAAAACACACATTTCTGTGTTAATTTTGCTGAAAAATGTTGATCAAAGGCACGAAAAATGTAAATGTGCAGTTTCCAAGGACACTCAAGCTTGGAGATCCCAAAACTTTGGCAGACATTTTCTCCCTAATTTTGCCGTTGACACCAGGCAACCCTACCTCTTTCAAATGCAAATATTTTGACCTCTGTTCAAGATAGATGGGTATTTGTCTTCGCAAAAATAAGACAAATAAACAGGCTTTAAGGTAATACCACTAACTTTTTATGCCCCAATACTAACATACAATATGTCACCCAGCTAGGCCATCAAACTTGCTAGAGACTGGAAACTCTTTCTCCCCTCGACGCCTTAGAGGTACAAGAGGGCGGATAAAGTAAAGTAAGCCTCAAAACTGACGAGCGCCTGCATGTAAATAGTGTCGTGAACAAACCAGCAAAGTCAATGTAAGCTTCTTTTTCTTCAGAAAGAGCAAAATTCTGCATTGTGAATGGAGTAAAAATAAATGCTTACTTTTCAAATTTTGTATACATGGTAGAGGGCGAGGAAGTGTTGACTTGAGCTTGGTATTTTTTCATTGTTTGGAGGATCTCATAGAAGAAACAAATTTGGGCAAAAATTAAATTAGGAAACCTTGGACTTTGTTACTTGGTTTCGCCTAACATTGTCAAAATGTGTATTTTCTATACATCATTTCTTGTTTTGTTTTTCTCTCACAGATTCCGATCTATGAGACTAGGAGTGATGGGCGGGACAATTTCCTGGCTTCTTTGATTATTGCTGGCAACTACATTATTCCAGAGGTGAGGGTTGTGTTGATATTAAAGACTCAGGAATATTTTAACTGATATTATATATGTAAAATCAGAAACACTCTTAACGCCTTACTTTATTAAAACACTTGGAATAATCTTTGTATCGTAGATAAAAATCTTTCACCATTTCAACCCTCCTTATTGTGATGGTAGATATGGCATGCGGTGTTCCTCTGTCACCGACTGACCCAAATTGTGTTTCTAAAACCTTGGGTCTTATCTTGCTTCTTATTATTGTCATCAGTACACAGTCTGTGGTTCTAAGCTTTTTGGATAACGTTATGAATGTGGATATATAATGTCTCTGGGATGTTTCCAGTTAATTGAAGGTATTGATCAAGTTGATTAGTTTATCCACTTCTCATTCACTAGGCACTCCATTTGTCTCCAGTGGCATTAGATCAGTTCCAACTGCTTTCCCGTAAACCATTTCTTTAATGGATTTTTTAACTTCTACTTCTTTTAGAATTCATGGGTTTGAAATTCCAATTATTTTCCAATCAACTGATAATTAAATAGTGGCGAAAGCATTATTTTATCTAGGTCTTTTTGTTTACATGTCTTTATGAAATTTACCTGTTGTTTGGTAATGATGTAGACAGATTAATTATTACTGAGCTTCAAGCCATCAAACATCAAAATAGGAGGCAAATTATACAGAATATGGGGTTGCAAGGGAGAAAACCAGAGATGTCCTCGCTCACATATTTGTGTGTGTGTGTGTATGTGTGTGTGTGTCTATCAGCAGCATTTGCTGTTCAATATTCACTATTCACAGCACTGTTCATCCTGTGATTCCTTGGTCAGTGTGCGTCTGCCTCTTCACATACCACGGCCACAGCTTCCACAGCTTGGGTGGTGATGGAAATTGTTATCTAGAATGAGGGGACAATGATGTGAGAGGCGGGTAGAGGGGAAATAAGAAAAAGAGGCAAGCACTTTGTCAGCATGGCTCGTGATATTCATTATCTCTCAGTTCTTTGGTGCCTGCCGTCCCCCTACCACACCTACCCACCCAGTGGGCAAGCCTAACAGATTCCACGTGTGTGGTTGCTGGCTGGGTTGTTGTTTTTTTTCAAAACATGTCTGTAGGTCCCCTGGCCCTAACCCCGCTCGACATGCCACCATTCGATGACATGACATCAGCATACGTGTTATAGCCTTTTGCTTCGAATTTCCAATAGGGCAAAGGTGGGTCAGTACGCCAACCTGTGCAAAACCATCTGCTGCGCTTTGCAGTGATGGTCCCTTTAGTTATTCATGGTGTGACAAGTGCCTCCTTGAGGCAGGTTTTCTATAATTTCTATTGGCTCCACTTATGACTCTGTTCCTAAATCATCAAATACAACGCATTGTTGAATTTACCTCAATGAATTTAGATGATATTATATCATGCTCTAATTTTACCACAAGCTGAGAAAAATGAGACAAAAATCCATTGTAGAAAAAGTCACACAGCATTCGAATGGCTCTGCCTTGTTTTGAATTGCTGTGAAAAGATTTTAAAAAATCATGAATGTTGAATAGTATAATGGAATGGTCACAGCTCTACCACCTACCCTTGTTGTCCTTATAATTTTGAGAACTCATGAAAGCTGCTCCAACCTGAGATACCCATGAAAATGTTCAGAGGACCTTAAAACCTATGTTCAATTTTATTTGATTGGAGGGTGCCATTGGTTTGTCCTATGTCTTTTCTTCCTGTCTGTTGTTTCTTTTTCTAGCTGGCTTTCTTTTTCCTTGCACTAGATGATGGTTGTGCTTTTCTGTACTTATGGGTGTTTGGAGGATGTTACTAGTAGGCACTGCTTTTAATTCTTCTGTTATGTCTGTCTGCCTGTTTTACTCTTTCCCAGCACTAGAAGAGTGATATTGTGTCGATACGCTTCTCTTTACTCAGACAAACAAATTTTTTGTAAGGTTTTGATCTGCTTCAACGAGAAAGTGTTCCGAGGCAACCGCTGCATCAAGTCAGATTCGGGCAGCTTCTCCGCCTTCAGCTCTCCCAACATGCCACCTCTTGTCACTCTGGAGATAGAGATCAAAGGTAATGAGAATCCATTATGTAAAATGTAAATTGAAGCTTTTTAGGCTTCAAAAGCAATGTGAGCAGTTTGTTCTGAATCCATTAAGTAAAATAGAAAATATAACTCTTTAGAGATTAAAGGTAATGAGATCATTGTGATCTGAATCCATTTTTAAAAAAAAACATTTTCGTATAGAGTCAATGTATGTTAACTCAATTTTTTTTTATAAAAGCAAATTTTTAAAAGTCTTTGATCAGTACAACACCAAGGTGTTCCTATAGACGTTTATGACAGACCACCTCTCTTTTTCTCAACTGGGAGCACAGATGGCTCGCAGATTGTTGGAGGGCGCCACTGGGGGATCCTACTTCTTTACCTTCCCTCTGTCTTACTTTTTCCCAGCATAAAACTGACCATTATTGTGTCTATATGCATCTCTTTACTTAAACTAACAAACAGATGGCTCAGGTGGTGCCATGCTGACTTATGAAGCTGACGAGTCTCATTAGTATTCCCAATGGATTATCTTACATTCAATTTTCCCAGGAGTTTTTATAACTCTCCTTTCATCGGACTCAGAGATACTGAACTGAAGTTCCCGCCTTTTCGATGATCTTACAGTTTTGAAAGGGGCATTAACTCTTCAAGGACACACATTTTCGTTATTTGACAATGCTTGAACATGCACTGTTTTGGGGATAACTGTAATTTTTATCGTTTTTTCAATAGCTTTCCTGCCACAAAACCTAAAAAGACAGACAACAACAAGCATGCAATGATGTTTGTCAATTTGTGTTTCTTGTTTGTTTATGATGGTTTGAAATGTGCCTCAACATTGCCTTTGGTCTTCTGTTGAACAGACGTGTTTGACCGCTACGTCTTTGGAGAGTTAATCCTTTATTTTCCACTTTATTGTACCACAGAAAACTTCATGTATTATAATTGTAAATGTTTTTCACACACATCAACACAGTTTAGATAATTTAGGAGGCCAGCTTTAACAACACTGTATGTTGAGGGCCACCCATGCTGAGTGAGATATATTTTCCCAGCTGACAAAAGGAAGTACTTCATTAAAAAAAAACTCTCAACTTCGGAATTGAACCCATGTCTTCTGCGGGTGACAACAAAAAACCTGACTGTAACACCACATATGCTGAGGTCTGGAGCATCTGAATCCCTTTAAAATGTTCAAAAGTCATACTATGAAGATCAAAGTATTCTGAATACAGTAACTACTTGTTCTGTACAAAGTCAGCATGTCTGAACCAAATAAAAAAATATTTAAAGGTTGTTCTATACAAGATAATTGTGTTCTGAATCGATTAAAAACAAAGCAAAAAACCCCCTCATTTCCTGAATGTTGAGTGCTGAATTCTGTGTACCACAAAGTGTCACATTATACATGCTGTCTGGGTTTTTTTAACTCTTTGTTAATCTAGGTTTAGCAGTAAAATATGTTTTTGGTAAGTTTCGTTTTGTTTTTGTATAATGAAACACCCTTTATGGTGCGTAAGGTCACTTTGAAGGTTGAATAGTGAAAGGAAGAACAGAAAAGGGAGAGAGGAAACAAGATGGATACAACACTTTCAAACTAGGGTCTATGGTACAACTGTTAAGCATGCAGATAATGTGAGTCAAATTCCTGTGCGGAGAAGTTTTTTTAAAATCAAGTATTAGCTCCATCTGTCTGCTGGGATGTTTTGTCTCATAGCCCAGGCTGGCCCTGACAGATAGGGTTGAAGTAGCCTGCACATCCTAAATGGTCTAAATTTTGTGAATGGGGCATAAAATATCTACATTTACTATTACAATACTTCAGAGGGAATATACTAGGTTAGAAGAACAAAGAAACAACTGAGTCAAGCTTTTACGTAAGTTTTGTGACCACTAAATTTAACGCTACTCTGTGTCCCTGGGGATCCAAAACTGTTCCCGCTGCAAGCTCGAACTCACCCTGTGTCACGAAAGGGTGAATCTCAAATTTAAAGATAGATGTTTGTAGTAGGCCTGTCCTCCTTCTCAAACTGAGCATCAATAGCTCAGGTGGTTGTTGGCTTTAATTCGTATCCCAAACAGGCATTCTTTTACAGGGTTGTGTGGGCTCGTATCTATGCTTATTACTCAGGAGGTCCCAACTCTGAAATGACTTAACAGTTTTGAAAGGGGCATGAAATTCATACTATATACTCCACCTTACATAGTAAACCAGGTGGTTGTTAGCTCCAATTCATATCCTAAACAGGCTTTCTTTTTACAGAGATTGAGTGGGCTCCTATCTATGCTTATTACTCAGGTGGTCCCAACTCTGAATAGAATTCTTCCTTTTACATAGTTTTATTTTGGTCTTTAATGATGATGTGTTATTGATGACATGCATAGGCCTACTTTTTTATATAAGACCAGTGTCCCAGTTCTTTGTCCTGTGAATATCAAGTTTTATGTTGTTCACCTGTTTAATAAATAAGCTTCAAAGTGAAACAATGAAACAGGTTGGGGGTTGGATGAGGGATTGGGGTCTGGGGATGGTGGGTGGAGTAGGCTTTGATGCAGGTTCACAGATGATTTCAAGCAATTCCATTATTGATAGGTTTAAAATGAGGGACTTCTTTTGCGTATGTTTGAGCATGACACTTAAATTGTTTGCTCTGAAAGGACTCTGTACTCTGGTGAGCATTGGAACTCTGTTGGCTGTTAACAACTATTTTATATTATACTACTGTATTGTATGATGCACTTTATATTATACAGTTATATTATATGACAGAAATCTCCCTTTGGAAAACCATGCAGAGGTCAATAAAGCTGTCTTCACGAAAGTTAAGGAAATCCATAAATTTTTTACAAACAAGACATTTTCCTTGGCTTTGCTACATAGATTTATGCTTCCTCTTTTAACCTCTTTTCAACACAGTTTTAGATGATTTTTAGTAGTGGGAGCTTCAACCCTTCATTTCTGGGTCAACTGAGTCGGATGTGGTGTCCCTGCTGACTGATACGATAAAAATATTAATAGACTTTCCAAATGCGAATTGAACTTGTGTCTTCTTTATGCCATGGCGAAGAGCTTATCAGCCATGACACTGATGCAGAAGCTCCTAAGAGCATTGAGTGAAGGGATGATAAATGAGGCAGGTAGTTGGAGGGTGTCTCTTGGTAGTCCTATGGTTTGACTACACGATATCCCTCTGTCATTTATGTTTTTTCTATCTTTAATAATAATAATAATATTAATAATAATAATAATAGTAACAACGATATTAATAGATTGCGTTTATATTGCACATTTTCATCCCAACTAGATGCTCAATGTACATTACAATAACAAATAGGTGAGGCAAAAATAGTCACAGTTAGGAATTATTCCTTTTTAATCTACTGAAGAAAAAAATTGTATTTCAACATACTGGTACATTGATAAAAAATTCAAGAATTACAATAAACAGGTATATGGGCTGAAAAACATCTTAACAATAGCGGACAAAGTGATGATGTTAGAACTGTTTCTAAATTACTAAATTTTAAAGGTAGCTTTGATTTAAGGTCTGCAACAACACATTCTGACAATTCTTTAAATAATATAAAAAGAGGGCTGTCATATTGATGTGAGTTTGAAGGCTGGCCCTTCTTTTGTTCAGGTTATGCCAATTTTGACATGTGGCTTATCTTTAAAAAAAGGAAGAAAACTTTTTGTATAGGTCTACCGAGAAAGAGGGTGGGATTTGACTCTCCATCTAGAAGGTGGTCAACTGAAGCAAGTAATTCCTTACAAGTTTTGACAGAACCAAACTTATTTATAAAATATTTTCTTTTTATTCAGCTTAATTTAGTTAGTAACGCTATTTTTTTGCACAACGAAAATATCTTCTTTTGAAGTCCTGACTTTCTCCAGCACCTTTTGGTTTAACAAGCCTGTGTCTGTCCAGCCTCCTTGACAGAGAGGGTGAACTAAGGTGCTAGTGGTGGCTGTCTTATACATGTAGTCTGTGTCTTTGCTTGTCAAGCATTGTTCCCAGGTTGTCAATAGCTGCACATCTGACCGAAGGCATATATGCCGATAAGCAGGTCTTTTTTAAAATCCTCAATGTTGATGCGCTTCAGTGCTGGAATGCACAATGTTTTTAATTACTTTCGTTGTTTCCAAAGGTTCATCTCAGTTAAGATCAGAAAATGGACTGAAATAGTCTTGTTGATGATTTTGACAGAATGGGTGTCTCAGTCACCAGATGGTACCACAACTCAGTCAAGAGTATGTTTTGCCTCGTGTGTAGACACATTAAGCATTTGAATTGAATCTTCATATATATATATATATATATATATATATATATATATATATATATATATTATATAGATATATATATATATATATATATATATCTAGATATATAGATAAAGATATAGATAGATATATATATATACATATATATATATATATAAATAGTAGATCTTTTATACTTCTAGTTTCCACGGAAGAATCAAAATGGAAATGTTGAAATGACAGTCTTCGTGTTGATGTACCTCCTGTAACCCCTTCGTGACCTTTATTATGACGTACATCGCTCGTCATATTTTGTTACAGGGCAAAAAAGCAAAGATACTGCTGTGACGTACGGCGTTTGTCATTCCTTGCTAAGCATGAGGACCATGATGACGTATGCCGTTTGTCATCGTAAAATTAATCTTTTTAGATTCAGCTAGTAATATTTGAAAACCGGGTCCAATTATTGGAAACTGACCACCAAATTTAGTGCTACTCTGTGTCCCTGGGGATCCAAAACTGTTCCCGCTGCAAGCTCGAACTCACCCTGTGTCACGAAAGGGTGAATCTCAAATTTAAAGATAGGTTTTTGTAGTAGGCCACTCCTCCTTCTCAAACTGAGCACCAATAGCTCAGGTGGTTGTTGGCTTTAATTTGTATCCCAAACAGGCATTCTTTTACAGGGGTTGTGTGGGCTCGTATCTATGCTTATTACTCTAGAGGTCTCTACTCTGAAATGACTTAACAGTTTTGAAAGGGGCATGAAATTCATACTATATACTCCACCTTGCATAGTAAACCACCTGGCTTTACTTGTGTCTGCGATTGAACAGTTAAAGCTTTCATAGAAGATGTGACCTCGATCGATTCCTGGGTGGAAAACTTTTTTAGGGAGTATCTCCATCTGTCTGTTGGCATGCTGTATCTGATTGACCCTGGTCTGGCTGTGACAGGTAGGTTTGAAGCAGATTGCTTCCTAAATGATCTACCAAATTATGTGTCGATGGGGGAATGCAACACATGCAGTTACATTTTCTGACCACCTGTCTCTTCTGGTACTTTCCAGTGGACTGGACGGCTGTGTTCCGGCCAACGGAAAAGGAACGTTTTGTCATCCACACCAACATGTGCCCCAATGTGGGACTCCTGAGGCTGTTTCCTGGCATCACCTCACAGACGGTAAGCGATATGTATTCCAAATTAAAAAGTGTCATACCAGCATCTGTGGTTTAGTTTGTTAGGCACTCTGACGTCACATCCAGAGTTAAATTCCTGTTTAGGGAGAAGTAAAATTGCATAAATTATTCTGTCTGTTTGTTGAAACGTTATATATCCCTTTCAACCTGGGTTGGCATTGACAGGTAAGGTCAAAGCAACCTGCTTCCTGAATGATCTAAATTGTGTCAAAGGGAGCATAAAACACCTACAAATATTTAATACAAAAATTTCAAGGTGAAATGAGATGTATCCAATAGTCACATTTCGAAACAGTTTTTCTTGTTTATTTGATGTTGGATGCAATTTAAATTTTTTTTTTTACTGTTTAAAAGGATTCATAAATGTTGAAAGTTGAAAATTTGGGGTAGGTTGTATTTTGCCCTGAAACTGCTCATGTGGAAATGTTCTATGCCCCTCTGTCGAGGGGATGGTGGATGGTTGGAGCGCACTTTGTGTAGGCCCTATTTCTTGTCATTCTCTCTTTTGTTTCTGCCTGTCTGTCTTACTTGTTCCTGACATTAGAACATTAGATGGCTGCTGTAGGCTTGCCAACTGTCCTGAACTTCCCAGGATTGTCTTGCTTTTGGCAGTCGAGGATTTGACAGAATATCCAAGTCCACTACACCAAACTCACTCCTACTTGATGTTATTTTGTTGGTTGTTATGTAATTTGATGTTATGACGTTCGGTGTCCCTGATTGGATTTGGACAAAGTTTGGAAGCCTGCTGCTGGTTTGCCCATGTGCTTCTTTTTCTAAATTCAAACATACCATTGAGACAACGTAGAGTAGTGGATGGTTGGCAGGTGCTCTGGTGTGATTTGCTCCTTCTTTCCCATCAAACATCTATCCTTTCTATCTTTCCTCCTTTTTTGTGTTTGTTACTCTCTTGTAACTCCTTTAATCTTCTGCACGTGTATGACCTAATTGGGCTACAAGTACTGTAAAACTTTTACTAAAACGAACGCAGATTAGTTTGGAGGTGAGCTGCTACAAGTCTTCCCATCAGGGCTGCCAACCTGGGCTGTTTGAAATACATCACAGAGGGAAAAATAAAAATGTTCAAGAAAATGTTGGCCTCGTGTGAGAAGCGAACTCCTGACTGGCTAAGAGCCTTGCAATAATTGCCCAACAGACACTGGCCAAACCAGTAACAAGGATGTAGTTTTTCGGTTTTTTCTCTGATATTTACTGGGGGGGGGGGGGGGGTTTACTGAAACCCATTTTCAAATCAGTTATTATTCTCAGCATTAATTTTCTTTTCTGTTAAACCTCATGTTATTTGTGTCTATTGACCGTATTTTTATTTGCAAAAGTAACTTCATACATTTTCTGTTATTTTCTCAAAATCCCAGTGACATATGTGCAGAAAGTAGAGAGGCCAATTTTCCTCACAGATATCCATAAATATATTTCTTAACGCCAAAGCGCATCGGTGGGTGAAAATAATATGCAATCTTTTTTGCAAGAAGGTAGTGCAGAGTATCCTCGCTGCTGGGGTGCCACTCGTGTGCCACTATAGCTTCCTGTGCTATGAATGGGTGTTTGTTTATTCTGTACACATAATGTGTCTGCTGTCCAGCTCTCTGTCATGTCAGTCTGTCCACCTGCTCCTTCTTTCGTATTATCAAACATCTATCGTCCTTATCTCTCTCTTTTCTTTCATTTTTGTAAGTTGCTATCTCCAGTAACATCTCTAATCTTCCACACTAAAACGACCTTTATGTACTTGCGTTGTAAGTGCTGTAAAACTGTCAGTCGGCCAAGGGTCTGGTCTTACAAAAATATAATTTTTTTTTTGAAAAACTACAAAACAAAACAAAACAAAAAAGTAAACTCAACAGCAACAAAAATAATACAGCCCCCCCCCAAATCTCCAGGCTGTCCCCTTTCCATCTTCTACTTGCATAGAGAGACCAAAGTTTGAAATTGTGTCACCGACCCTACCAACTGATTAAGGTTTACAAGCCTAAAAGTCACACGGGGCCGCTTCTAACTGATGACCTGTTAAACCTGTTGTACGTACCCTGTCCCTATATGCGTGGCATCGTGATGAAATCAGACGCTCGTCAAAACAATGAAATCGAAAGAACCGACAGTTTTCCACCCGTTGAGCAATTTTTATCGAAATTTTGGTTTGGGGTTCAACACCTTTTGTGTACCTTCCTGCACCTGGATTTTGTTTTGTTTTAGTATGGGGTTTTACGGCGTTCGCAACTGCATAAGGTCATGTGAACGCGCATTTTACTGAAAAACGATGATCAAAGGCACAAACGAAAAAAAAGAGGTAAATTTGCAATTTCCAAGGACTTTATAGCTTTGGAAGTAATCAAATTTTGACGGCCATTTTCTTGCGACCCCACCTCCTTCACTTGTAAATTTTACGCATCGACGTCAATTCAAAATAGACGGGTGTTTTTTTCCGTCAAGATCAAGGCAAATGAACAGGCTGTAACATTATACCAATAACTCTCTATGCCCCCAAATTGATGAACGACTGATTCTACCGCGCCGTGACACGTATTATAATCTGAATTGTGTCAATTGGAGCACACAGAATTTACATTCATCTGTGACTAAAAAAAACCCTGTCGTTAATCTCCACTCCAGTTGCATTCACCGGAGTACTGGCATTCTTCTCGTTCGGGTGACCCATCCATTAAGTTAGCGCCTCTCCAGGGCTCTACATAATGTGTTTTTATTATACATCATAATACATCAGCGGTTTTTTTTTCTAGTTGTAAACTTTCTGTCAAACGTACATTTCCTGCCACACCTTAAATTGTGTGTGTGTGTGTGTGTATGTGTGTGTGTGTGTGTGTCTGTGTGTATGTGTGTGTGTGTCTGTGTGTGTGTATGAGTGTGTGTGTGTGTGTGTGTGTGTGTGTGTGTGTGTGTGTATGTCTGTGCGTGCTTGCTTATCAACGTGTAATACCATTTAATGGACGTGTTCTTCTGTCTTATCTACCATCACTGCTTTCTTTTTTCTTCTGTTTACTCTTGAATGTTCTTGGTTTTTAGTTCCACTCATGGTGTAGAATAAAAAATACCACCAAAAAAACCCCAAACAAACCAACTTGTTAAAAACAGAACAAAAGTAGACTTTTGCTTGCAGTACTTGTGCTCACCGACCAAGATAAGCGCGACAAAAAAGTTTAAAAGACGGAGTATGGGAGAAAACACAGTTGCTGCAGAAGGCTTTGGAACAGCGAACTTTTAGTCAAGTTTGAAGATGTGAAAAATTGGGAGGATTATTTCTTATAAAAAAAAAAAAAAGCAACCGGAAAACGCAATTGCTTGACGAGATAAAACACTGCAGAATGAACGTTGTTCTAAAAAAAAAGGGAGAAAAGTTGAAAATTATGTCAAAAGTTTAATATAAACTCGCACAAAAAAGTCAAGGAACAAAAATTCAAAGAAAGATTACTGAAGAACAGTTTAACCGAATTTATTCATTTTTTCACAAAAGATGCTTTCGACTCTCTAGATCAAGTGTGAACAATTTCAGATTTCAACAACAACGAGACGTTTATATAAAATGAGTTTAAGTCACACTGGTCGGATTTCAAAAGTCTGAACAGCCAAAGTTCTTCATGAACATTGTCAATGGTGGATGTAGCCACCCCGTTTGATCAAACACTCGGCACAGCGTCGAAGCATGGATAGCACATGCCTTCGGAGAACTTGTTGCGGTAGGTTCTGCACTCCTGGACGAGGCAGCCCAAGAGTTGTTGAAGGTTTTGTGCAGGAGGGTGGTTGTCCCTTATCCACCGGTCAATGTGACCCCAAATGTTCTCTGTTGGGTTCAAATCGGGATTACAAGCTGGTCAGTCCATGCAGGTGACAGCTCGCTGCAGCATGAAGTCCCCCACGATGCGTGCACGATATGGCGTGGCGTTGTCGTCCTGCAGTACAGCCTGGGGTCCAATCTGCTTCAGGAGAGGAACAGCAAGGGGACGCAGGATTTCCTCCCTGTACCTTGCCGAGGTCAAATTACCCTGTATATGGTACACGGGGTCCTGTTGTGAGCTGAGAAGCCTCCCTACACCAGAACGGACCCTGCAAAGTAGAGCGCCACCTGCTGGATGAACTCAGGGTGGAACAGCTCTCCTGGACGCCTCCAGAAGTGGGCTCGCCTGTCTGGGTGCAACAGGTTGAATCTGGATTCGTCCGAGAAGACTACCTGGTCCCACTGACAATGTGTCCACTGTTATTGGCGAGCAGGCCACGCCAGGCGAGCTGCTTTGTTGGGCGGCGTGTGCCTTGGGCGCCTGACAGGGACACAAGAAGCTAACCTGGCTCTACGGATACGGTTCCTTACCGTCTCCTCGCTCTCGTGGACATTGTCTGTCACCCGTAGTTGGTCCCTGATCCAGTTTGCAGAGGTGGTTCGTGACGTCACGGCCTGTTTGACGATGAACCAGTCGACGCTGTTGTTGGTCAAACGGGGCGGTCCTGGTCGAGGCCTGTCCAGGACCCTTCTGGTCGCTCGCCATCGTTCTTGCAGTCTCTATATGACTGATGGAGACACCCCAAATCGATGTGCAACAACTGGGAACGTGGAGCCATCTTGGAGCCAGGTAAGGGCTCGTCTTCTTTCGACGTCAGGCAGCGAATGTTGTTGGACCATCGTGTTGTAATGAAACATGACAGGAAAAACGCCGGCTTATAAAGGGTTGTAAGTGAGCAATATTCACAGCTAAGACATCTGTTTAGCACATGCCAAGCTTAGTTTTAGCTAACAGTCCCTATGCCAATGTTGTTGAGTCAGAGAAATTTAGCCCATTTTTCATGCCCTGCGCCGTCGCTATGAAGCTGGTGCTGGCAAATTTGCCGTACAGGCAAACTGTGTCTAGTCGTCAGTGCGTGTGCCAAGTTTGGTTGACTGATCATAACGGGTTTGTGAGATATTGAAGTTTGAATTTGACAGGTGAAAACACAAGGTGTTCCTTGACTTTTTTGGGCGAGTTTATTTATGATTTATATATACATGTACATTCATTACATATTATGTATGTGTGTTTTTTATATAGAGAAAGAGAGAGAGAGAGAGAGAGAGAGAGA